AACATCCAGCTGATCTGAAATAGTGACGCATAAATGACGTCACTGCAAAACTGAGATTCCTGAAGCATATGAAAATAAAAACATGCCCGATTAAATTTTTAAAAAAATCGTTAAATAATGTGTCACTGTTATCAAGCGCTTATCCACCATTTTCCATACATCGGTTCACTGGTCAAACACAAAGCATTCAGTTGAGGTTGCAAGGTTCAAATTTGAATAATCCTTTGAAAGTACCTTGGCGCCTCGCTTGAGCGCTTTGTGTTTCACCAGTGAACCAATGTATGGAAAATGGTGAATTAGCAACGTCATTTATTCATTTGGTGTCCTGGAAATCTATAACTTGCATACCTCAGTATTGCAAATTTTCTCCATTTTAATTGGCTAACATTTTTTTCTCAGATCAGCTGGATCAACCTTTGTACCACGACGAGATCCTCTTGATCATGATCATCAATCATTGATATCTTCAATGTTATCATCCTCTTCACCAGCACCATCATCAATCATGATGATCATCACCATCATCAGCTATCAACAGCAGTATCATTATCATCAACATCATCACTATCATCATCACCATCGACATCATCATCAACACTTCATCATCCTTATCACCATGCCGTTATCACCATCAGAATGATCATCAGTCATCATATATCCTCATCACCACCACTATGATCATCACAATCATTATCAATATCAACAGCAGCATCATTATCATCAATATCATATACCATCATTACCATTTACCATCATCACTCGTCATCATCACTCATCACTCATCATCACGCTTTCAATTAAGAGGACAATAATATATCTATTTATCATATATAATAGGATCTTGATTTATAAGATTTTGATTGAATGTATTTTCTTTGGCCATGTGCCAATGTACAAATTGTATACGATGTCCTTTGAAATAAATAAAATGTAAAAAATGTAATGTAAAATGTAACCATCTTTCATCATCATTATGACCATCATCACCATATATCATCACTCTACTGATGTAACATCATGCAGAACATGGAAGACTGTCTGCATCAAGTGAAGCAAGGGACGCTCATTCGTAAAAGAATTTTCGTGTTGTAATTAAGTTAATGTTCAATAATTTAATGTCATTTTATTCAAGGGACCGTCGTAATTGGGGAAACCTGTGACGGTATCCCTTACCTCTCGTCTGCTTGTAATTTGTTTATATTTTTTCTTTTTTCTTTTTTTTTTTACTATGATTTGATGTGAGGTAAAAGTTAAATAGATAAATAAATGATACCATACCGCTCGTCTGCTAATCTTACCAGTTGTTTCTGTAGAAGCTTTATCGTGTGGTTTTTCGTTTCCAGTTCATGCTCAATCTCTTCCTTATCCATAAAAAGCGTATCACGTTCCTAAAACATGCGTCTCATTAGTACAATGGTTCCATCCCCCATACACAAATACACTTCTTAAAACCAACCTCCTTCAGATTTTTCATCTTTTCTCTCAAGTCCTCCATCTCTTCCTTCATCTTCTTCATTTCTTCATCACTATCATTCTGTCTTTTTTCCTCTACAGTTCTCTGGGTAGAGTTCTCTGCAGCAAGCTGCTCCTCGTCTGGACGCTCCAGACAAGACGATTGCTTTCTCCTTGATAAAGAAGCCGAACGAATACGTCGTAGTTTTTCGTGAATRACTTCGCTTGAGTCGTAAGTGTTTCGTCTTACGCCCTAGAAAATAGAATTTTTTATATTCTTCTGCAACCTTAGCAAGTGTTAGACTAAAGTGCGCAGTTTTGGCGTTTAAGTATCAGTCAAATTTATTGCAGCTAAAGACAGTTGTAGCTAGTTGTGACCTAAAGACTGACCGCGTCTGGATTTGTGTTGGCTGAATGGTTTAAAAGGACCTTCACATATTTATATCGAGCCTTGAAACAACCCCTGAGCTGATCTAAGTCAGGGTACGGGTAACTCACAGATCAAACCCTGAAACAACCTCTGGGCTGATCTAAGTCAGGGCACGGCTAACTCACAGATCAAACCCTTAAACAACCTCTGGGCTGATCTAAGTCAGGGTACGGGTAACTCACAGAACAGAGCCTGAAACAACCTCTGATCTAAGTTGGGGCATGGCTAACTGACTCAAACGAGAGTGTGTGTGATCAACTTCTCCGAAAATATTTGTTTTCCTTACCGATTCATCACAAGAATCATTTTCACATAAATTGGACAAGTTTGTTATGCTTCTGGATGAAATAGACTTTGATTTGGCCAATGGTGAGACTACTTCAGCCTGAAGAGAAAGTATGGACAACATAAATAGCTTATTAGTTATCATTATGACCTTACTACTGAATGACTGTGGTTTCGGCACGGCATGAACAATATGATAGCAAATCAGTTTGGGCCGTTTCAGAACCCAGAATAGGGCAAATGTTGACCTGGAGACCGCCCTCTTTTGATGGGACTGTTTTAGCCATTAAAAGAAGGTCCTTTTTTGCTTATATAACTGTGAAATTAGAACTGGAGATTCATAAGGCACACAAAAGACCTCTACCTTGGGCGTAATCTTGCACCACGTGTCATTACCTAGGGTATCACTTCTTTGTTTAAAGGTTGCAAAAAGACAAATAGAATATGGATTGAACCTAAACAAAGAATCTTTGTTTTCAAGAGAATGACACGTGGTCTGAAATGGGAAAACATTACGCCCAAGGTAAAGAGGTCTATTAACAGCATTCTGTAATTCAGTTTCGGCGCGCGAAATCGCTGTTCGTCCAATGAAAATGCTTGGATACGATCACGCTATAAACGGCAAGTCCTCTTGTACCGCGAGTTTTTCAAAATCATAATATAAAATTTAATCTAATGCGAGTAACTTACTTCTTGAAGTTCTCTTTTTAGTTTCAGTAGCATCGTTTTCATGGCTCGAACGTCGGTCAAGCACTGAACAAAACCAGCCTCATCGATCTCCAGGACACCGCTATCATCCACTTCATTGAACGCAGACGCGTGTCGAGGTGCTCTGAATGTTACTAAAGTCGTCCTTCGTCGAACGAGACCGGGTCTTTTAGGCTTTGGGTCTACACGACTTTCGTCAAGGGATGCTTTTCGGACTTTAAGCATATGGAAAGGGGATTTCTGTGATATTTCTTGGTCAACATCTCTCGAGCGACCCAAAGTTTTTGATTTTTCAATTCTAACGTTTTGGTTAAAGTCTTTCAGTTCATGCGACTCTTCTTGAAATCCGTTTGTTAAAGTCTCATCCTTTTCGTCCTTTAAATCTTCCGCACAATTGTTTGAAATAGTTTTATCTACTAATTCCTGGGATTGACTGCTATTTTTATCTGAATTGTCCTCCGCCCCACTCGTGTCCAAATCTATTGGATTGCCTCCAAGAATGAGAGAGTTGATCCTTTTTTCCACGTCGGAAATTTTCTTTTGAAGAGCCTTTTCATAGTGTGCTGCCGACGTTTCATTTTTTAGCTGTTCGTCAACATCATCAGTTCCGTCTTTCAGAGTCTGGTCATTCAAATCTCTTAAGTCCACATCAGCATCCGTATCGGTGCTACATTTAGAGGTTTTGAAGTCTTCGCTCAAGGAAGACGTTGACCAAGACGAATTGTATCCTGACTCCATTGATTCCTGATGTGATGGCGAAGCTGCTTTGGACATAAGTTCCTCTTTATCAATTGAATCCTTTTTATCTGTTTGAATTTCGCTGCTTCTAGTTTTATCATCGTCAGATAAGTTCAGCTCATTCGATGTCACCAGAGGTTTCTTTTTGTTAAAACTTTTTTGTTTGGACAAATAAGGTTTTGTTTCAGCTTGAACCTTCCTGGAATATGGCGACTTAGAGTGCGGAACGCTTACAATATCGTCACCTGCCATTTTACTTCGACCTAATGAGTTTCTACGTTCAGTAACAACAGTTTCTAACTTCTGTTTTGTATCCCACTCTTCGTCATCAAAATAATCAGTCTTCGATGGCGATATTTTGTCCGCAAGTTCTGATAAACTGTAAGAGAGAACGTTGAGCTGTGTTTCAGACAAGTTTAAGTGTTTTTCTGGTGGAGCAATACCTTCTTCACCAACGGAACCACATTCTTTATCTTGTAAACTATCAGACATTCTTGTATCTGATGCTAGCGCGTTTGCTTTCGTAGAATCGAGTTCTCCATAGTCTCCTGACACGTCCTCTTTCATAGACCTGTCATACAAAATGTGGATTTTAAATTTCAAGTTTTATCTTCGAGCACAATCAAATTAAAAATTATCCTTGGAAGCGGAATTGAGAAGAGTATGGTGAACCATTTAAGGGCATCGCTAATGAAAATCTTCTTTATTAAATTGCCTACACTTAAATAGAACAAAAGTCGCCAAATTGACAGTTTTAATATAACAAAATTACCTTCCACGCAGCAGTCATTATCAACTGCGATTCTCGAAATTCACCTTATATTTCTTGTTTCCAATTCGATTAGAACCTTTTATTAGGAGTCAACTGTCCGTTTTTTAATTGACAAAGATTGTGTAGAATTTTTGGTTCCACAACAATTTGCATAAGGAAAAAAATTATCCAAACTCTGCAATGAGATTTCTCAGTTTATTGATTATTGCTTTCCGGCCTATCTTGAATATCATTTATTTAGTTTTGTCTATATTTTGAAACATCTTTTGTCTTTCATAAAATGTTGTTATAAATAACAACTTCAATTAATCTGTGATGTCATTTGGGAGCTGTTTTTTATATTTTTTTTCTTTCTTTCTTAATTTCTTTTTCTTTCTTTTCTAACGTTTTTAGTTTGAACGCATTTACGGCGCATGCGTCAAGAAAATGGCGGGAAAATAAACAGCCACGTTTTTTACTTGCTCCGTTGGTAGATTTATCTAGGAAAAAATTACCTGAAAAAACAAATGTTCAAATAACAACATAACTTAATGTTTGGTGTTTGCTAAGACGTCAGAAATTAATTTTATTATTTATTCTAGAACATACTTCTCTTCGTTTTCGTTATCTTCGCTTTCTAAGTCAGTTGTCTTTATTCCTGAAAAAGTTCAATGAGGGTAAAATAAGGAAATAGACTTCTTTACCTTCGGGCGTAATAAGGTTTTCCCATTTCAGACCACATGTCTCTCCCTAGAGTATTATTTCTTTGTTTAATAGTTGCGCATGAGAAGAYACATGAATATGGATACAACTCAAACARAGAATCTTATTCTCGAGAGAATGACACGTGGTATGAAATGGGACAACATTACACCAAAGCTAAAAAGGCCTAATTTTCAGAGGATATTTATTGAAACTGTTGAAAATGGACCCATCTCAAAATTATCTTGTGTGAGAGGCATGGAAAAACAAAAGAAATGACACAAATGTAGCACTCTTTCCAATACTACACGTTGAGTAAGGCAAATGACAAAACAGGTGGATGATAGCCTATTGCCAATCAATGCTGTAATGACTTCAGCTCACAGTTTGTAGCAATAAAAACAATGTAAATTAGAAAGAGTAGCTTAATTTTCATATATACCTGATTTTGATGATTTAGTTTTCCCCATAGCAAAGCCATAGTGTAATAAATTAGATGATTTTGATGTGTTTGTAGACTGTTTTGAGCCAAGACTTCTTTGTGTTCTGCTACTTGGACCTGGAAGTCCTCTGGCAAGTGCAGGAATTCTTGATTTACTCATATTTATTCCTCTTTACAACATAGCCCTCATTTCCATATTTCTAGGTAAATAATTATTATCTTAGAATGATTTTAAAAAGGTAGCAAAATATGAATGCATGGCAGCCATTCTGGAGGTACAGGGTCATCCAGGGGTTGTGTAGTGTACGTGGGTGCCAGAGAATGGAAATGGAACTATGTCTTAACTAACTGCCATCTTGAGAAGCGCTTTAACATTCAAGGATTTGAAGACCCCCCCCCCCCCCAAAAAAACAAAAAAAGGGGAGCGAAAATGAAAATGTTACCCTTTGCAGATGGGAAAAGTGGACCTTCGGCTTTTACAGTGGGGTGGGGGGATACAGGTTACAGCCATGAGGTGAACACTGCTGACATGGCCACGATACACTAATTGTAAACAAAGAATTAATGCACAAATGCATCTAACAACAGCTTAAACTAACCAAATTAAACCCGTGTCTTATGTATGCATGCATTGGCCAGGAAGCAAGACTTGATCCACCTCTTACACTGCTGTAACAGTGGACATGGGTTCAATCCCTGGACTCGTCATCAAATATGGGTATACAGTTGCTAGTTTTCTTGTGTGCTTTGAGAGATTTTCAAAGAAATAACTTCTAAATTCCAATTTGATAATGAAATGAGGACCATACATTTTTAGTAAACACAAAAACAACAATCCAAATATGTATGGATAACCAAAATATTGTAATTGGCTTAATTATTCCTAATTTAATATAAACAATTTGGAATTTGAAGATTTATTACTTGCAAGAGTTAAATATATATATAAGAGTTAAATATATATATAGAATATATATATATATATATATTCTATATAAATCCTACGCAACGAAATGAATAGAATTTTTACGATAAATAATATATGTCATCAAGTTTAATAAATGATATTCATGAATGAATGACAATTTTCTTAAATGCTACGACTTTTAGATGAAACGTGTAACTAAACCGTAATCGATAATTTTTTTTACCTACAAAAAGGTGAATACGATACTTGATAAAAAATCTCAAAAAGAATATATACAAAATATTGTGACATCAAATACATGCCAACTCTAAGATTATTTAATCTTTAATTTCTTGCATAAATTCATTCAGTCTAGTTGAATAAAAAATGTAATATTCTGTGCGCGACAGAAAATAAGACTTAACGGATTCATTCCTACGATATTGAACTTTGTGGTTGAAATTCTTTCCTAATGATACAACAGAAAAAACAATTCGAAGATCATAAACAAATAAATAGATTCCTAAATTTCAGTCGCTGAAACCCGTCTTTGTTTTGGTAAATAGAGACATGGCGAAATTAAAGGTGACGATCATTCACAACTTTCTCAAGTATCCCGTCAAAAAAACACTTTTCACTTCTCTCAAGAAATTAAATGTTTTGTCGCCTTGTCAATATAACGTTAGTCGAATGCCAAATTTCGATTCTATATTTATTAAAATTCATTTTATTGAGATAGAGAGATAGATAGAATGCCAAATTTTATTTCATATTTATTGCAATTAATATTATTATAAAAAGGAGTAATGTGGTTTCAACAATAATTCAGGCATTTAAGTCAAAATATACATCTTTCCTATCTTGCGACTGGAATATTTTCGCAGAAAAACATCTTCATAGGAAGACTTTTAATTTAAAAAAAAATTATGCTAAAAAATTAAATATCAGGCCTATGTAAACTTCGCAAGCTGTTCTTGCTCTGAATATCAAGGTCAAAATAATAAAATTTCTCGGCGGATTTTAAAATGCCTGGGAAACATGTTTTTTTTAGTACGACATAAAATTTATTTTTGTATTTCTTAACTTTAATCGGGAATTAAAATTAAAGCTGAGGGTTTCTTTACGCCTGAGATAATCGCAGATAAAGAGGATTATACAAAATAAGGTACTTTGACTGGACTTTTATTCTGTTTTACCAATACAATGCTAAAAATATCAGAGGTTAATACCATTGACGTTGATGGCGCAGGAAATATCCTAGTAAAACCATCTCAGTGCCGCATACTCCGGAAAAGCCATCAAAATGTTTATTTACTTCTCGGAAAGCCAGTTCAGTGCAAGCGTGGTCCTCAGTTAAAGAATTTTTTTCAGAACCAAATCATCTTAAGAGAACGTCGTTGTTGATTTACATTAATTTACTTAAATTTCACAACTCTATGCTTTGATTGAAGAAGGAAGGAACGAATCTTGATACAGAATTCTAGGAAGGATCAGTTACGAACTGGCTTCCCAACTTTTCTTTATTGGCTTGAGAAGTACAGCAAATTAGATTACAAGACATATTACTATTATTTAATGTTCTCTATATTTACGAAGGACACTCAAATGTTATTTCCAATCAACAATAAAAAAACCTTCAAATTTTATCGTCCTTATAATCTAGAAACTAGAAAATTTCGCGAAGCTTTCATACAGTTTTAAACTAGTTTCGATTATTACTCTTTCAGTAATAAAATAATTTTAGTAATTTTGAATACTTTAGGTAAACTTACGTTGAACTTAATCAAGTATTTAGAGTTGTAAATCTTACCGTTCGTTCAGGTAGTGAAATATTTGTGTCCGACATAAAGCCAGAGACTTTACCAAAGCTCTTTACTTAATCCAGGTGTACAAATCGAGAGCAAATCAAAAGTCGAGAGATTGAATATTACGCTCCATACACTTGTAACCAAGTAAGAGAGTTCGATATTCAAAGCAAGTGTGGCCCGCTCGTCTTGTGACGTCAGACATGTCACTAAACTTTTTATTTTATTATAACGAGATGTCAAGTTAAGCCAATCAGAGCTCTAGGAGAACGATTGTTAACTTCCGGTGTACAAGGAGGTAATTAGTCAGAGAACAACTGTTAATAAAGCAGGTAAAGTAATTCTTAGGGTAGGATATATAAATATTATACGAACCTAATTACTAGTATATAAGACTTTGAATATATATTATYCAAAAATATTATTGGAATTTCACATATATTAGGGAATGTATATGTTTGGGGGGGTGGGGGGCAAAGAGAGGACTGAGGCTTCAGAGGGAAATTCATCAGTGAAAACAGTTCGTTTCGTCAGTAGGTGCTGCTTTTAAATTTTGACTAGACTCTCAGGGCTGCGTCAGCCCCACCCCCCCCCNCCCCCCCCTCGGTCCTACCTCCTCTATCCTACCCCACCCCGTTTGTAAGCAACACTGAAAAAATATACCCGCTTGGGTTGCCTGTGTTTTCGGTTCCATGCTCTCTCTTTCGGATTCATTTCATGACTTGCCAACCAAAACACAATAACAAAATCGAAGCTCTAATTATATCTATAAAAAAAATTCGAATCCCAAGAGATATGGGATCTTCATATTCTAAAGGAGCAAAAACAAGCCCTTCTATGAGAAGCACCAGTAGGAAAAAAGGATCTGGTAGTTCCAAAATCAAAGATAAGCCTTCGCACACCACATCTGTTGAAGGAACATGTGATGTTGACAATAATCTGGAGCACAAAACTGGAAATATTGTACATGAAAGAAAGGATAGCAAAAAGTTTTGGATCTCACATGTGAAGTTTAGAAGAAGTAGTGGAGATTTGAGAAGGACTTCGTCTGAGAAACGACCCGAAATTCACAAAGATGGAAAGACGCATGCTAAACAAACACTACGACAAGAACAAAATTCCAAAAGTGCATTACTAAAAACTTCTGCTGAGGGAACGTCTTCACAGACTAAAGAACTCCATGAAGACGATAGAAGTAGTGAAAATAACAATAGAGGTGTAAAATCAGGGATTTTGGAACAAGGTGCGAATTGTTCCCAACATTCCGTTGTTACCAATGTCAATGCTGGGGTTGCCAAGTATAGGTCAATGACAGTTGTTGAACTTTATAATATTCTTAATGATGGTGCACTTTCACCTTGTATTTGTGACCCGTCCTATGTTCTTTTATTGGACACAAGAAGTAAGGAATCGTATGAGCAGAATCATATATTATTAGCTAGGCCATCAACTTCTCTTTATTCTGACTTACAATCTTACAACTACCTAAATGGGCTTTCAACCAGTAGTATATCGAATTCTGTTAGTGAATTCACTTGGATCATTATATATGGAGATCGTATCGATCCTGATGATAGAAGTATAGAGGAAAGACCAGAGATCAAATTGTTCAATGAACTAGAAGGAAATTATGATGCAGAGCCTTATCTTCTTTCTGCAGGATTTATTTCATTTGAAAACTCTTTCCCATTTTTATGTACAGACAACAAAATTACAGATTATAAGACTTTAGAGGTCTACCCTTCAATGATCTTAGACGACCAACTTTACCAAGGACGTGGTGACCAAGCGACGAACATCAAGGTCGTAGAAAACCTAAATATCACCCATATCGTAAATATCACTCAAGAACACAAGAATGCGTTTCCAGCCAAAGTGGAATACTTAACTTTAAAACTTGACGATGTCCCTCAAACCCAACTTTTAAAGCACTTTGAAACRACAAGTGCTTTTCTAGCTAATGCATTTAGTAGTGGGGGACGTGCTCTGGTACATTGTAATCTCGGAGTGAGTAGAAGTTCATCAGTAARTATAGCATATTTAATACAGTCAAGGGGTTGGACATTAAGACAGGCGTATGATTACATTAAGGAGAGAAGGACGTGTATCCGTCCAAATAGAGGATTCTTACAACAGCTTTCTGTCTGGGAAGTAAATATTCTGGGGAAAAGGTACACCAATCCTGATGACTTGTGGCTCTAAATCACCAGTTATAAATCTCATATACCAACCAGTACACTAAATCGCWGGAACATTGTCAATTGAAATTACATGTGAAATTGGGCGGGGGGAAATTTGAGGCAAATTCCATTTCTGGATTTAACAATCAGAGCATGCGTTACATTGTGGCTATGTTTAATTTGTACAGTGTTTGTATAACAATATTCTTGTAATTAGGCGTTTACGTTAAATTTAATGATATTATTCAAAATTAGTTGAAATGTAAAGCTATTTCAAAAAATGTYGAAGGSGCAGATGGCGGTCGTAGGTAATAGGCAATAAATGATACGAAATAGGTCATTCCAAGATGCAAGAATATGGTAGCCAGAATTGACATATTTTTWATCATTATTCTATTGTCAATAACACAAATGTTTATTGATGTTAATTGTTGTTGAAATGTCGTTTGTAGTCGACAAAACCATTTAAAACATTATTCGATTATTTGTAATTTATATGCATGCGCACTGTGCCTTTCGGTCGTTCACACCTTCAATGTTTTTTAAATAGTTGTATATTCATAAGGAAAATGCTAGATATTCATCAGTGCAAATGGTTGAAGGCCCCATTGGCATTTATTTAGTCTAAATCTGAATGATCCAAATTAATAGCAGAAAATAATATTCTAACTGTAAAATATTACAATATTTTGTATAAATATGATAAATACAATCCAAAGCTAAAAAATTATAATCCCTTAAGTAATTTAATTAATTGATACAGAAAAATGTGATATATTGATGAGAGTTTATAAATTTTTTTTTTTAATTGGTACCAAAAGAATGCTTTGTGCTCACTATGGCTGCGTTCATAATGTATGGCAGGGGGGCGGGCGGGGCAGGTGAATATTTGAAATGTCCAGAATTATTCTTAACATCCCCTTAACACCCTGCAAAAAAATACGATCCCCCCTAAGCAAGGCTTGTAGCTTCTTCCAAAAATTGTGCATCCCCCC